ATAATTTTAATAGTATATTATAATACACTTCATCATCAACTGTGTTTAAATGGGTCTATAGCTTTGCATCCCTGCATGGATTTTTGTGAAATATACATTACAAAATGTGACATTTTTAAGGAAATTTGTCTTAAAAAAAAATCAAATATGATACCTTAAAGGGACAGTTCACCCCCAAATCAAAAATACATGTACTCTAGAAATCATGACCCTATTACTCGTGATAATCCACACATGTTGTTGTGAGCAGTTTCATTTAAGAACTGTTTTCGTTCTACAGAACTACACCTGCCAACTGTAGCACTGCGCATAAGTAAACATGAGGCTAGCTCATGGACGAGAGGCTTGTGCCAAGCACCCAGGAACAGTGCCACACTTTGAAGCCAATTTTACATAGTGGCCAAAGGTGGAATTACACTGTCTGAGTCGATCACATGATGCCATGGGGCCTTCACTTAACTGTGAAAAAGACGTCTGCAAACCAGTGGATACATTTTATGAGCATCACAAACAACCCACAAATCTTGAGACTGATTAAATGATGATTAAATCATCTTATCCGCATTCAAGATAGTGGAGTGCTAAACCAAAAGTTAGCTCCTTGACTACACTATTTGGTAAATCTTACGACTTCTAACAAGGTCTCGTAGGGCCGTAAGTCTCTGGTGCTCTTGCTCTATGAGCCCCACAGTGAGCTGTAACATTAGCTAGCTCAGTGGTGCTAGGTGAGCTATGGCACTCAGCTTGTGGCACTTTGAGCACCAAGCTGAGTGCCATCTTGTTCCATCATAGACTTAGGAAAAGGCAGACATCTCTACAGCCGACATCTCCAACTATCGGCAGCTCACACCAAAACAATTAAGATTCATAAATAGCACTTAAGGTAAGAGGAAAATATGTATTTATGATCTTGGGATGAACTGTCCCTTTAAGTCTACAGGTTGATAATGGTAATTGCATGTTCTGTCATACTTATGACCACAGTATTCCTAAATCCTTGCCACATCCCTGGTTGGACTTATTCAACCATAGGATACATTCAGGGACACATTATGCCTTTACATAAAGAATTCATTTGCATAAACATGAATAAATAAAATGCTCAAAGTGAATCCAATTTCACATTAGCAAGAGAGGAGCCTTTGTCGTATTATAAAGGGACAATATAACAGAGGGTCAATACTGACTGATATATCAGTCACAATGCAATACAAAAGAAGGAAAAATACATGACAAGGCATGTGAAATTCTCATAAAATATAATTAATTTGAATGATACTGGAGGTTGTTAGCCACTCAGGAACAGCAAGCATCTGTTCAAATATTAATGGATAAACCTGAGACAATTCTGTCCATTGATTTAATACAAATCAAGACACATAGACCTAATAAAGGATGAGGCTTTGTAAGGGGCATCCCTTTCACTCCCACCAACATGTGGCACTGAAATCACAGTACTGAAGACCCTGACACACAGACAGGCGTCAACATGAAACACTCTGCTTTATTAACTGCCTGCTGACCTGTGAGGTCACATGTGATCTCGTATTTTTTTCACTGACATGCCAGTGTGCATATTATAAAAGCGACAGGCATGCTGCTGCTGAAATATGAACACAACGTGTGTATCTCTCATGCTGCAGCTGATTTGCTGCCGTAGCTTTTGCATCAGTACCTATTCATTGCCAAGAAACATAAGCCAGGGCTTGAGGCAGAGCGCCGTAGAGATTTGCATATTATATTTTCTCTCTTGTTGTTGAAGTCAGCAGTGAGTGATGGAGGCCAAAAGGCCTGAGCCACAGAAGCCGGGCCAAGAAACGGGAACAAGCCTCCGCTAATTTCCTGGCATTAAAGAAAAAAAATAAATAAATAAAAAAAACATAATTAACACGTTAGATGTACAGGCTGTGGTTGTCAAGGTAACTGATGACACCGCATTATCACTTGGCGCTTCTGCATCCTCCACCCTCCCTCTTTCCTCCCATTCATCAAGCGGCAATTGAACAGCTCCGAGCAGGGAGGAGTGGGGGAGGGCAACCCCAACTAATTTCATATTAAACTCCTATTTATTCACAGAAGAGAGTTCACACACCTTTATTAGTCTGGTATTAATCCTGGAAAGCCAATTACCATAACAGATGATTACGCATTACAATGGGGAGTGGTGAGCCTGGGAAATCATGTTATTGTGTAAATCATACTTTACTGGCTGTACACTTTATTCTCTTTAAAGGGTCAGTCACCCAAATCATACATACATACATACAAACATACATACATACATATCCTAACACCTGTGCAAGTTACACCAAACTATGGCTATGACAGGATGAACTGACCCTCAATGAGTTTACAAGTTTACGTTGTTGAACTCCTGCAGGTTGCCACTTGGCTTTGGCAGATCGTATAGCAGGCATCGCAGAAGCAGAAGGAAGACAAGATGAAGGAGGTGGTAATGGTGGTGTCTGAATACCTGAGTCACAGCACTAGCAGAATAAGGACGACCAGAGGGGCCTGGGATCGTTTCCACCATCGCTATCGCTACATCCTGACTGACTGTCTCATGGTGGGTGTACGTGTGTGCACTGTACAGGTCTGGACACCTGGCAGACTGTAAGAGGGTTAGTAGTTTAGGATACAGGTGGTTTGGAATTGGATGTTTCATCATAGTCACGCTCTGGTTGACCGCTTTTGAAGCCCTGATGTGGCTACTGCTGCTTTGGTGATCAGTCAGTGCTGATTTCTGCATTGTTGTGCTACTTCGGACAAATCTGTTACTCATGTTAGCTTTTATACAGATGTTGCAAAACATTTTTCTAACTTTCCACCTCAGCCATGTGAACTCTACCCACTGAGCTCTTAAGCTCCCTGCTGCCGCTGCTCCGAATCAGCTGTCCCTGGCTCATTATCTTCCTCACTGCCACCTGCTTGTCCTTCATCCTCTGCCGCATCTATCCCTCTTTTTTCACCTTGTGTCACCCATCACAATTATTGGGCTTTTTAAAGAAACTACAGATACTTAGCTACCGTGACATTTTGCAGTGGCTAAAGTCAAATAAAAACTTGAGAACAAAGACAATACTCTAATGTTGTGTTTCTACCAAACGCAGTGCAAATTTTGCAAAGTCATGTTACTTGCACCAGTTTGACTGCTAGACTATTTTGTGTTGACTTGCTTCATATGTGCGAATGACGCATGTGAAATCGTTGAATCCATGAGTGAACTTCCGTCAGTACGTCCTTTGCGTCATGTGTTCTCGGAGAATCTTAATGTTGATTAGCTATTGCAGTGCAAATTGGTCGCCGATGTTCGGATTTTTCAATTCTCTAGAATAAGCATCACATGACTAACGTCGACACTACAGCATGGCTGTGAGCTGTGGTCGGCGTCATAGTGTTCCACAGATTTTATTTCAGACGCCTTACCAAGAACCCCTTTAAAAAAACCACTGTCTTAGAGATGAAGGAACCAGCAGTTCAAAAATGCTAACTCATTTTCCGGGTTTTAAGACTCATTCTTGGGGCACTCAATCCACCTTATTCCTAGCCCCCATGATACCTTGCATGAATTATGGGAGCAACTTCCGGCATTGAACCGAAACTTGCAATTTCCAATCCATTTACAGTTTGTTTACAGTACTCTATTCTTTCCAAGAGCAATTTGGAAATAAAACATGGAACACACCACCTATTATAGTTCAAACGGGATCATGTGATCATACCTCTGACAGCCATCTCAAAGCATTGTTTTTTTTCCTTTTCAGCTGAGCACCTTAGCAATTAGCTTGCCCTGCTTTGTTAAAATATTAACTTTAACATGGCCAGAGCTAGCTTAAGGTTAACATCTGCTCCTTCTGAAGATGATTTCTGATTTCCAATGACTTATTAAGAGGCACTAACACATTCAGCAAACATTTAACATAATTCATTATTAACTGTAGCTTCATGTAAAGTGAATAAATGTGATGTTTCCCAGCTAATCCTGCGCTCGTCTGCATTAACGACGCAGTTTACATGATTTTAAAGCTTCTGATTTATTAAAAACTGTTCTGAGCAAAACATTTCTCAGCCCAAATGACTAAATACATATTTCAAGGTATGTTGCTAAGTTCATTTTATAACAAGCAATTTTCTACTGTAGGTTGAGAATGAAGTCAGACAGGGAAAGACAAGGATATCATGTACTGACATTGAGTGACGGATCTGTCAGTCTCGGTGTCATTCTCTTCTGCAAATTCTGATTTAATACTTTTTTTGCTATGTCTCGTGAAACTCTTGTGGTTTTTATTTCTCATATCAGTGGTGCCTTTGGCAACAGGAACGATCGCTTTTCGTTCTGGTTTCATGTTCAGCACACAGTTGCTGAAGACAAAAGTTTAGCTTAGACTGGTTACAGACAGGGACAGTGCAACAGGTACCAGAGCTCAGCAAAGACATTTTAGAAAATCCTACGTTAACATTAGTTAAATATTTATAAATCAATAAATCAGTATTCGCTAAACTGAAGGAAAATCACTAAGAACCAGCCACCAAGAGTAGCTACTGGGACTAGCCACAGACCATCTATGGGACTAACTAGCTTACTGCCACTTCCGCTATCTCACTGGAAGTTGCAGACATAAGCATTTCTACAGTAGTGCCCTCAGGAATAAGGTGCATAGGGTTTGGTGTTGAGACTAAACGCAAATACATATTCAGTTAAATATTTAAAATGATTCTACCACAATATAACTCTTAGCTAACGAGGTGAATAATCATTTCTGGTCAGCGCATTAATATTTAGCTGCTCTAACGGTCGGCGCATTAATATTAACGTGAACTGCCGGCAATCATAGGTGCGCGTGTCGGGAATTTACCGACTGTTCCGCACGCGACTCAGCCAATCAGAACCACCGGTTAGAACTCTCCCGCTCCAGGATTGGCTGATCACTTGCAGCACTTGAAGAATGCAAAACGTGGGCTAGTGCCATATTGTCCAATCAATGACTTGGCCACGGAGCACAGCGGACCTGAGTGAGAGCAGTGTGTGTGTTGGAGAGGCAGAGGGAGCAACATCACCGCCGCGCGTGGAGCCTTTGAGCATCACAGACATTCACCGCAACGATAAAACTGAAATAACGCGACAACACTCGAAAGATTTATTTCGTAAACGCGTGCTCTCGCCGGGTTTATACGCTTTCTTTGTGTTCTCTTTTTTTCTACTGGAGGGAAACGGCGAGCGAGGCTTCACTGCGGCTAATCAATTTTCCTCTTCCAGACCTGGGAATTACAATGAAAAATGTAGGTGACACATTTCCTCTCACAGACCAAGAGTCACAGTAGCGAGGACGGCGAAGAAGAAAGCAGGTATAAACAACATTTGTGCTTGTTAAAGAGACGTTAGAAAATGTGAATTGGAGTGATATCCTGTTTTAACGGTGCGTAACTTCAAAGATAGTCACATTTGGTAATGAGTCAGTCATATGGGTTTTATTGTTCGCTAATGTGTAACTTAAAGGCGTCAATGGAGCCACATTTTCACTGGCAGGGCGCATGTGTGGCACTGCAATGTTTGCGCTTTATTGTTGAGCCTCCATTGATTTATTGAAAGGTGGGGGGGGGGGGCTGTTGTCTCCACCGCATTTTAGTTCAATTCATACGTTTTCTTCTCGGTTTCTTCAAAGGGGGGAAAATGGTGACGGGTGCCGCATCTATAGGATCAGCATCCTCTGTGGAGCCCCTGCGTAAAAGACAAACAGGTATTTTTTTTTGCTGCTTTCATTTTGTCGGTGTTGTGTTGCTGCTGCAGTGTGTTAGACAGGCGAACAGGTTCTTATCATGAGGCTATGGTCTCATCTGCTGCTATGCATACGTACAATTCAGTAACGCCTCGGCACAATGCAACAAAAAACCCTCCCATTTTGTGTCTCACTGTGATGCCCTGAATGCAGCATCACACATACATGGAGTCACCTAGCAGCTTAAGACAATGAAGAATTGTGTGTTTTGCATGCATGTGTGTGTGTGTTGCTGCAATAGAGTCATGGGGAAAAAGACAGAGCACACCATGCACACACACACACACACACACACACACACACGAGTGCCATGACTGGCTCCAATGTGAGCATAATTGCCTCATGAATGCTAATGCATCATGCTATTGCAGAGAAACACTGCAAACTATCTGCTCCCCTCTGCACTGCTGCCTCATGGGCTCACAGGTGCTCAGGCTAGCCTTACCTAACTTACTGTGTGTGTGTGTGTGTGTGTGTGTGTGTGTGTGTGTGTGTTTGGGCATGCATGCCGTGTAGGTGTCTGTGTAGGTGCGTGTTTGTGGATGATATCACCTTGCATATGGTTGCAGGGGCCATGTGTGGTTGAGGATGTGTTTTAACCAGGATTTTTAGAGCTGCACACCTACACCTGCCTCACCGGGTTACTAAAGTGACGGTACATTAGAGAAGTGCTTCCCGTCCTCCATAATTAACACACTTAGAATCGGCCTGTATGGCCACATTAAAAATTCTGTTGTGATACTTCACTTGCAGCAAAGTGACTAATTGAAACTTAAAATCAACCCTAATAAAAAGAGCCAAAAATGGCTCTCGTAATTTCCTGCAGCCCAGGGTAATGTTTCCAAATAGGTTTTTATGTCTAACTAAGGGACTGTTGGTTATGTATGAGAGGGGAGGGGGTGGTGCAAAAAAGGGGAGGCACGTCAAATATGTTTTAAGCACTGGGGAGAGACTTTATTTGTTTATTTTTACTTAGAGGAGCAGCATACAACTTTTATTGTCATTTGTATTTACTTTACCGCTGATTTTTCAAGAAAACATGCCCCCCAAAAATGGTCAAAATTGCACTCATTCATCATGGCCAGAAACTGTAAAAACAAAAATGATGGTTGGATTTTTAAAATTTCTGACAGTCCTGGAACACATTATGTTAGACCAGCTTCAGTCAGAGAAAAAAACATAACCAGATCTAAGCCTAAGATAGTGATATTAAATCTTAACCACTTCTATGTTCCATTTATAATTTGGCCAAAAATACATTTTTTGCATGAACTGACCAGCGTGAAAAAATGAGGCTTCTTTTAACTCCAGGATTTCTTCTTCAGCTTTAAACTTTTAAACATCAAAGGGTACGTTTTTAACATTCAATAACTGATTTATGATGGAAGGAGGGTCATGCAAGTCACTCGGGGAGGCTCAAGGAAAAATATTTATAGCTTCATGGAGGGGCAAAAAAAAAGAAAAAGGAAAAAAGGGAACAAAATGAAGTCGTACTCCAGCCACCCCCCTTCCCCTGACAAGTAAAGAACAATCCCTGACATTAAGATAAAACAGAGTAGAGATGCATGTATTGATTATTTTCAGGATTGATTAGTGTAGTAATTATGTTTTTGAGTAATTAATAATCTTGTAGTCCATACAATGTCAGAAAATTTGTCTTTAAATGATTTTAAATTTACAGTGATATAAAACACAGAAAACCAGCAAATCCTCACATTTGAGAGGCTGAAACTAATTAATACTTTGCACGTTGCCTTGATAAATGACTCAATCTGTCATCAGGATCACTGGGGATTGATTTCCTCTGATTAATCAGAACTATAAATGTAAGACCTCTACGTCAATTCCTCAAAATGAAAAGCTTTTTTGACAGCAGCCCTTTCAGATCCAACACTTAACATGAACACGGGGATAAACATCCTTTACAGAGGAGAATAAGCGAGAGCACTCTGTACACCCACAGTAGCCTCGAAAGATCAGACTGCAGTGCAGCCACAGGACACGTTTGCATTTGAGTGAGGGGCATCGCTGCGATTATGGATACGTATAACCCTGCAGCTGAATGATCACACTTTCAAGCTGTTTGTGTTTCAGTGTACGCCTACCTTTGAGTGAAATCAACAAGTTCACGCCCACTCTCTGGGGGCTGTTGAAAGGCATTCTTGGAAACGCAGGGAATCACTCACTGAAGTGGAAGTGGACGAGAAAGTATACACCAAGTTGATGACAAAAGCATTGCACATCACAGATGGATGATATAACAGTGTCAGAGTATCAGAGTGGGGTTGTTTCTTAAAATCTCGGCGAAGTATTTAACGCTCTGGTGTTTGTTGTGGGTGATGTTTACCTCAGTTTGATTCAGTTTAGCTGGTTATTCGAAGTTACTGTTCCTTTTTGCATGACGGTGACTTTTCTCTTGTGGTTGCCGGACCTGGTGTGCTCATTCCCGATGTGGTGGAGGAGGCGGATCGTCTGCAGCTTCACCATCCATCATGGTTGTTTTATGAGTCAGCGGTGATTAATCTGATAGGTGGTGGTCAGGCTTTCAATGCACCCCAGAGAATGAGCTGGAAATGGGCTACGTACGTAGACAAACGGCCTTGACTGCACCTCCGGATGTTGGGGGATTTTTACCGGCGGCTTGTGGAGAGTCTCAGGTGTTCACGTCATCACCGGGGGACGTGGGTACAAATGGCTGTATTCTCAACACACACAAACAACCTTCAGGAACAAACACAATTGCATTTGTACTGTACTGTGACTCTTCTTCCTGGAACTCCCCCACTGCAGCTTTGATGTGAGAGAGAACTATGTCTGTTTACAGGTGTGGAAAAAGCCTGATCCAACACCTGTGTGTCTTTTTGATGATGTTCTCTAAACAGTGCAGCAGGCTCATGCCAAAGCCTTTTCACAGCTACTTTAAAAGCTGATATGATGTGATGTGATATGTGCACTGTTCGTTAATCTGCAAAAGTAAATGCCTTTTTAGAACGACCCATTTGTAGCAGACGTTAATTAAATAGTTTCAGTTTAAATGGTGACACATGGCTGACCTGGTTGGGCTCAATGCTGGCTGTTCGCATGTCAGCTGGGAATGTAGGTAGTAACACTGGAGCACACATTCAGAGCCTGCATGGCTGGACTGGATGCTATTTAGAGTCAATCATATGCCTTATGCAAAGAAAAAGTATACCATAGGTTTTCACTGCCTGGATTTTAAGTGACTCTCCAGGTTTGTTTGTATTATTGGATGACCTCACTGCTAAATGGCAAACAAGGTCATATATACAAATCTTACAGCTTCAGAATATGTGTAAATGTAGTTTTAATCGAGCACATGGCTCCTATAATCTCGACATACAGTCATTTGATTGACTTCACTGTTTATTGGTGAGGACCCAAGGAAGTGTTGAGTGTGAACTCTTGAGAGCTTCGGGACATATTTAGAATTGAGTAATATGTTGGTGTGGGCAATATGAAGAAAATCGAATTTCAGTATTTTTAATCAATTACTTTTTTTTTTTTTAAACCAATATTTTTAGCCTGACCCTGATGTTGCCAGTTGTGTTCACAGGTGTGTTTGTTTACATAAGAATGTCACCAACATTTTAGTCAGTGTGATGCAAGAATAAACAGCAGGGTTTTTCCTGGCCATTATAAGATCAGTGATTCTCTCCCTTTTTTTCCCTCCGCCCCTCATACGTGAGTCTGAAGAAAAATCAAACAACACGTCAAAGACCACACAATGTAGCTTACTGGTAGCCTGCAGCTGCACTTTTGGAGTAGAAGAGGCACAGGCAGCGAGCCAAAAAGTCCGTTGTTTGTAGATTTACCCCCCAAAAAACATCATCCTCCACTCCATAAATCCACCATCAAACTGCCCGACTCCAAACCCATCAATCCACGGTTTTGGTAATTTACATCGTCTAACAAAAGTAGTTAACTGTGACAGGCCTATTGAAAAGGGCCCCCGGCATGCTGGGTACAGCACACACTCTGTTGCTACGGTACATTTAAGAACAGATGAAGACAGACGGACCAGAGAGACAGGAGATGTAGCAGACTGAAACATTTCAAGCATCAGGCATGTAACTCTTTCGCTTCCCGGAAGTAGTCTGGTACCAAACAGCAACCTGTTAGCAAATGACGTGTATACTTAGCGTTACTTGGGGACGCAGCTAAGTCATGGCTAGTGGTCTAATTTAATTTATCCATCTTTTAATTTCTTTTTTTCCAAAAATGAATCAAGCCCTTCTGCTTGAAAGTCCATGTTTCTGATGTTACTAATCTTCAAACCTACCACTGAACCGAACACCGTCTTTTAGGGTGCTTTCACTCCTGCCCTTTTTGATTCGGTAAGTTAATTTGCCCCCTAAGTGTACTTCATTTGGGCAGGTGTGAACACAGCAATCGCACTCAGGTGTGCACCAAAACAACCTGACCGAGACCTTCTTAAGAGCTTGTCTTGGTCTGGCACCGAACGAACTCTGGTGTAGTTCGTTTGTGGTGAGAACGTGTTCCGACATCGATCCGAACCAACTGCAGTCACATTACACATTGTTTGGATTAAACAAGCATGAGCATGGTACAGTCCTGGAGGATTATTAATGTGCGCCTCCTCCTGTACTGCCTTGATATCCAATGCATCCAAACCATCAAAAGAATATTTTGTAGTTTGAGCTGCGGCTTGTTTTTAAACTGTGTGGTTTGGCTAAAATGAACAATGCAAGCAATATAGTACACGATGACTAGCGCTAAAATCAACAGTCTAGTTGTCCCTTCATTGTGACATTAGAAAGTGTCTTATTTATCTTGCAAGTGTATTCTTGTTTACTTCCTAGATTTTTGATAATAATAACCACATTCCTACATAAAAAACCTCCCTCTGCCCAGGACCACATGTATACTACTTACCTTTATACTTACCTGCAATGTTTGGATAAGAGGCCGATGATTTGTCC